CCTCGACCAAGAGATGCGGCCCCTGGAAGAAGAGGAGCCCTTTCCTGCCACCTCCTCCTCTGCCCCGTCCCTCGGTCCCCTCCTCCTCCTCCTCCTCCTCCTCCTCCTCCTCCTCCTCCTCCTCCTCCTCCTCCTCCTCCTCCTCCTCCTCCTCCTCCTCATCCTCATCCTCATCCTCATCCTCATCCTCATCACACTCCTCATCACACTCCCGGTGAAGGCGAGCGGGGAGAGAGTGAGCTACTGCCTTGCTCCTGCTCGAGGGGGGAGCCCAGAGGAGTGGCTGGACTCCCTCCAATAACACTGGACACAATAACATGCTGTATATAATGTCAATATATTTTTCAATATATATTCAAACTTAAATATCTGTTTGGATTGACTTCCTGTAGTTTCCAACACTCGTGCTGTCTTCCTCTGCTGCTGTTGCGCTTCAATTGAAGTTCAGAAGGTTTCAAAAAGGAAGGAGATGTCATCTGAACAATAAACTGGACTGATAATGCATCTGATCTGTACAAGAAGGGACAGAGTAGACTCTTTCTGCTGAGGAGACTGAGGTCTTTCGGGGTGCAGGGGGCACTCCTTCAGACCTTCTTTGACTCTGTTGTGGCATCAGCCATTTTCTATGGTGTGGCCTGCTGGGGCAGCAGCATCTCGGCTACTGACGGGAAGAGACTGAACAGACTGGGAAGGAAGCTCTGTCCTGGGGAGTCCTCGGGACACTGTGGAGGAGGTGGGAGACAGGAGTCCTCTGGACACTGTGGAGGTGGTGGGAGACAGGAGTCCTCTGGACACTGTGGAGGAGGTGGGAGACAGGAGTCCTCTGGACACTGTGGAGGAGGTGGGAGACAGGAGTCCTCTGGACACTGTGGAGGAGGTGGGAGACAGGAGTCCTCTGGACACTGTGGAGGTGGTGGGAGACAGGAGTCCTCTGGACACTGTGGAGGTGGTGGGAGACAGGAGTCCTCTGGACACTGAGGAGGAGGTGGGAGACAGGAGTCCTCTGGACACTGTGGAGGTGGTGGGAGACAGGAGTCCTCTGGACACTGTGGAGGAAGTGGGAGACAGGAGTCCTCTGGACACTGTGGAGGTGGTGGGAGACAGGAGTCCTCTGGACACTGTGGAGGTGGTGGGAGACAGGAGTCCTCTGGACACTGTGGAGGAAGTGGGAGACAGGAGTCCTCTGGACACTGTGGAGGTGGTGGGAGACAGGAGTCCTCTGGACACTGTGGAGGTGGTGGGAGACAGGAGTCCTCTGGACACTGTGGAGGTGGTGGGAGACAGGAGTCCTCTGGACACTGAGGAGGAGGTGGGAGACAGGAGTCCTCTGGACACTGTGGAGGTGGTGGGAGACAGGAGTCCTCTGGACACTGAGGAGGAAGTGGGAGACAGGAGTCCTCTGGACACTGAGGAGGAGGTGGGAGACAGGAGTCCTCTGGACACTGAGGAGGAGGTGGGAGACAGGAGTCCTCTGGACACTGAGGAGGAAGTGGGAGACAGGAGTCCTCTGGACACTGAGGAGGAAGTGGGAGACAGGAGTCCTCTGGACACTGTGGAGGTGGTGGGAGACAGGAGTCCTCTGGACACTGTGGAGGTGGTGGGAGACAGGAGAATGGCAGCCAAGCTGTCCTCCCTGCTGGACAATGTGTCCCACCCCCTCCAGGACACCCTGTCCTCACTGTGCAGCTCCTTCAGCAACAGGCTGCTGCACCCCACCTGTCACATGGATAGATACCGCTGGTCCTTCCTTCCTGCAGCGGTCAGAATTTACAACCAGCACGGCCCCTAGTAGACCCCCTACACACACCACAACACAGACTGTACAACCAGCACAGCCCCTAGTTGACCCCCCCCCACACACCACAACACAGACTGTACAACCAGCACAGCCCCTAGTTGACCCCCCCCCCACACACCACAACACAGACTGTACAACCAGCACAGCCCCTAGTAGACCCCCCTACACACACCACAACACCGACTGTACAACCAGCACTGCCCCTAGTAGACCGCCCTACACACACCACAACACAGACTGTACAACCAGCACTGCCCCTAGTAGACCCCCCTACACACACCACAACACAGACTGTAACACCTCTTGCTGCTAAATACAAACCAAATATGTGCTATATATATATTTGCCGTTAATAACTGTAATGTATACCTGGCTGCTAAACCCTTGTTACTGTTACGAGGTAGTATCTTGTACTTTGTAAATTGTGTAACTTGCTGCTGTTAAATACCGTCAAACTATGTGCAATATGTGCTTTATGTGCAATATATACTTTATGTACACATGCATCTTTAATAACTGTAATATATACCGGGCTGCTAAATCCTAAGAACTGCTACAGGATTTGATTTGTAGATTTGATTTGCTTTTTATCTGTATTTGAAAATTATGTAACTTTTTAATCTTTTTTTAGCATATTGTTCATTATGTTATAACTTAGTACTTTTTTTTAAACGCATGTAAGATATGCAACACGAAGCTGTCTGTGGCTCTTTCCTGCTGTAACGCTTGCAGTGTCCCCTCTGTGGGACTAAAGGGATTCTGATTCTGATGGGCTTTGTGTTTCTCAGTGAGTGAGTCTAGTGTAACCTGGGAGGCACCTTCAGTCAACTTAACACTGGTGAGGTGAAGACCAGTATACATCCCAGTGTGCTTCAATATAACACCAGCAGCCAGCAAAATGGCCTTACATGTACATGTAATGTACATCTAATTAAAATGTTAAAGAATTATAGATTAAAATAGACTAATTGTATCAAATGTAACGTCTTTTAAAAGTTCTATAACATAAAGTGATTGAAACTATAAGACACTGTAACCGTACTCTTATGTTCACTTTATTTGCTTCCATTGTGTTCTGCAGTAACGGCTAAAATAGATTCCCTGAATAATGCAATAATGCACTGTAAAATGAGGTTGAAGCCGATTGTTCATCTGCCTTCTTCTTTTCCAAACAAAGCATTGCCACCATATTTCTTTTTTCTCCAGAATTTTGATTCAGTAAAGTCATCTGTGTGTGATAGTGCTACCACCACACAACACAGTTATTCATATGCTTTCTTTGGTTTAGTTTTCTGTAAAAACATTGGGGTGAACAGAATAGAAAACACTATGTCAATGACAATGTCAAATGTATTGATGAAGAACAGTTGACCAAAGTGCTGTACAATTTATATAGTCAAAGTAAATGCAATAAAACACACAAGAATAGAAATAATACTTTATATTGCAGTATATTTTAATAGATGATGTGGCATCGGTGTAATTGAGTGTTTTAGTGGTCCCATGTATCACTTCGATATGATCACATGACATCCAAGGTGTCCATGTGATGTCATCCAGGTTGTTTTGCGGGGCTATCTTTTTATTTACATGTTGTTGTGCATGTTTACAAGTTTTGCCCAGAGTCACTGCAATGAGAAAGGGGGTGTGTTTTCATTGGCAAAAAGCTGAAGTGAAACAATTTACTTTTTCACCAACCTCAGATGCTACTGTAAGCATCTTTATTATATAACCTTTGCTAAAACATGAAGCAAAACATATCATGTTACCTCTACATAACAGACCAGACCTTTTACATTTGATGGATACAATACATCGTAATGTATGCAGGTATGATATTAAATAGCACTTCTTATATTAGATCCAGTATTTAAAGCCACTACAGGCAACGTTTTTGTATTGATGTCTTATCAATCCCTTTCTACAGTGTGCACATTCTAATGTCTATGGGAGTATGAAAGAATCCCTGTTCAGATCAGTTCTTTTGAAGTCTCAATATTTAACACTAATTTCACCATCAAGAAACATGTTTCATCCTCCTACCAGTGCCCTGACTAGTCACTGCCAATTCAACTGGAGTTGGTCTGTGTGTCCTATGTGCGTGAGCAAGTCTGGCGCAAATTGGCTGCCGTGATATCACTCAGACTGAGTGTTGTGTTTGATAGCTGTCGGTCCATTCGTTGTTCGTTCTGTGTAATTCATTGGCGACCAATTTGTGTAAAGCGCTTTGAGTCTCGAGAAAAGCGCTAAAAACTAAATAAAATGAATTATTTTTATTATTATTGTCTGCCACCGGTTACGATCTCCCGCAAAACTGTGACAAATTGCTTTATGGCACAAGGAAGTGTGTCAGTGAATCAGGAAGAGAATGTCATACTTGGAGTATAGTCGTGGATTGTGCTAGCAACATACAATGACCCCGAGCATTCTGCATGTCTTCTTTGCGATGGTTAGGTAAAATAATTAAACTAAGCAAACGGTAAGGGTTCCCAAATCCACCTCTTCTAAGAAATGACCTACTGCTGCTTTAAGCTTACATGGAGAACAAGGAAGAGAACAATCCAAAACAACCCAAAAGGTTAAACCAACATGAATGTAAAAATCACCTGCTGGGTAATCATGGGGAAGCTGCAACTGCATTTGTTGGCACCAAATGTATGAAAAGACTGAACATCATAGCAATCTAACGGGGCACTTTGGCTGTCTCAAGGTTACACACTCAATTCACATTCACACAATTGCACTGGCTTTGTTTCTGTTGCCTCATAAACCTAGGGTCTCCTGCTCTTGCAATGGCACGTTATTCACAGTTTTTGACATGACCCCTGTCATTCTCCAGACCACGGTTTTAAATGTCCACTCTCCTAGTGTCACAGAATGGTCTGGGGCATCCATTCTGCTACACTACTCCCAAACTCTATAATGAAGCTCTGGTCTCTGGAAAACGGTCACTTTCAATACAAGTCACGGTTTACTGAAGAAATAGGAGAACCTGTGTTTTACTTGTGTGTCTTGTAACTTTTTTATCCTGAGGTTCTTTTGCTAAAACCAGTTAATGTGGAGCCTCTATAGACATGTTTAGTTTTTAGCATTGTTTATAAGTGTGGCATAGTTGAACCTAATCATTTTGCATGGACTGACACATTTCCAGAAAATGCACATACGTAGGTGAATGTTATTAGTAAATTACTTGAATGCAGAGTTGATTCTTGTAAATATTTTATTGTGTAGCATTTTGAAAAACAAAATTGCGGCGCATATAAGATGAAGTCTACCGCTACAAGCCAAATGAATTGTGATAATATGATATACAAATCAGTAAAACAAATCGTATTGCTGCTAAGAACGTGTACAACAGACATTTTATTTAAGGGCAAGTTCTTAAAACAAGAAGTCATTAACTAACCAATAAGTAATAAGGAACTTAAAGTACAAATGCAGTGATAAAGTCAAATGTATTGGATGTTTGGATAACTAGATAACCCCCTGACTAGACGTCTTATAGGGAGAGGAACTAGACAGTGCTCACATAGTTGTGTAGATCGTTCTGTCACTGAACGGTGCAGGATAGAGGAGGAAGTCTTGATTCTTATTTGAAAAGAATATATTTGCTTCAGAGAAAGCAAATAAAGCATGATACATTTTTTGGCACAGGTTCCTAACAATGAAGTCAAATAATCATGGTAAAGTAAAAAGCAAAGGCAATCAGGCATGTAAATGTAAATTGCTTTTGTTGTTTGTTCTACATTTCTGTAACAACTTCTTTAATTGTGGTGTAGGTAAGACCTTTGTATACACCACTGGTGTCATACTGAAGCACGCTGCCATTATTGCAGGTTATTTTCACAGTGCCAGTGTAAGGCAGGTCAATGGTGGCTCGACCGATTGTAATGTCAACTTCCACCTTCTTTCCTGCAGGAACATGTATGTTAAAGGATACCGTCTCCGTTCTCTCCTCAGTGTTTTCCAGATGGTAAGAGCTCTCTCTTCCCATGGTAAAGCTGAATCCAGTTGAAACCTCGATTACCTCTGGGATTCCTGCACTCACTTCCATACTGAAAGTTGCCTCCATACTGTTGGTCACAGTCCAAGAGGACGTCTTTGTAATTTTCTTGGAGGATTCAATCTTGTTTTCTTGGTCGGCTGTGGTGTTGTTGTCGTAGGTGATGGATTTGATTTCTTCTATATTCACCTGCGGTACAACTTGGCTCATTGTTGGGTAGTTGACGTCCATCAAAACGGTTGTCTTGACAGCATTGAGGAACATGAAGCCCATGTTGTCAATGTCATGGCCACATCTTCCAACAACCCCGAAGCAGATTCCAGAGCCAACATCGATGGGGTATTCTGTCTTCAAGCCCCAGCTGGTCATTTTGGCAAAGAACTCTCCGGAACGATTTGTCTTGAATTTGATGGCCCCTAGACGAGTACCTGCTCCATTCCCCCACAGCGACAGAGAGGTGAAACACTCCCCAGGCTGAAATGTATACTCTTGACTAGAACCAGATCGTTGCCCAAAAAGATCATGACTTCCATCTGTGAGGAAGGCTTGGACACCCTTCACCTGCGAGCCTCCTACCCACACATTCAGCTGCTTTAGCGTGGCTCCAGTACTCTCTCGAGTAAAGGAAAACGAGTGACCACCGTCGCCACCGATTTTATGCAAGGTTGTTGGATAAGCCATCTTATAGGTTTTAGATAAGATCTGAAATGGAAATGTTCAGTTAAATACCACTGCTTTAAATATTTAAATAATGTGTTTAAAATTTCAAGAACATTTGATTTTCAGCATGGAATTGCACGCAATGTCATTGTTACATCAGATATTTGAGAAAAATTGACGATTTTTTATTTTTTTATTTGTTTGAGTCAGGATAGTACTTGTATATTGAATATTTATCAATGTATTGCAATTAAGCATTCCAATATGTCTTGGCCTTATAAGCTCTGCTCCTTCCAGTCTTCCTGCCTGTGATACCGGATGGCTCACGGCTTCACATCCCATGCACGAGGAAGGAGTGCTACTTATTTTGAAAACCCCCCATATAGGGTGTATACTGGGCTGGCCTAAACTAAAACTGTAGGCTGGAGTGGACAACGTAGCTTTTTAGAGTGTCAAATTAGTTGAGAAATTGTCTCACTAATGCGTGATTGAAAATATTTTCAGAATTGTTTAAACTGCAGCTTTTTCTAGCCTGCGGGAAAAGCCTTTTTGGTTCTGAATTTGGTTTTGCGCAATGATCTATAGGCATTACGGTACACAGTGAATAAACAATGCAAATGGTCCAAAAATGACAGGAAGTTCACTTGATACTACTACCCAAACTTGTTGTCCATATACTTACTTAATTTAGCATAAACAACTAAATATATTGTTTTAGCAGCTCATACCCCTTTTCCACCAAAGCAGTTCCAGGGTTAGTTTGGAGCCTAATCTCAAACCTGTTCATTGCTTTTCCACCGCCAAAGAACCGGCTCTCGGCCGGGAAAACGGGTTCCATGGTGGCCCCAATTCTTTGCTGGTTTAAGACCAAGCACCGCTTCAGAGTCATGTTACAATGCAAAACACATATTATAGTTAGTTATTTGAATGAGCAATGATAGAAACACATTTGTAGAGTAGCTGTATTTGACAACTACTCATTATCTACCACATGCTTCTCTCTGTTCGACATAAAGCTAGTCCCCTCACCTTCCTTACACACAATTTAAAAAAGAGCAGCATTTTTTAAATAACTTTATTGAAAAATATTAAATATACAATTGATTCCAAAGGTAATGTTTTAATATTAGTATTTTAAACTTTGATTGGCCGGCCGGCATTGCTATTGGTAAGCACTGCAATTGGGCAACATTTCAACTATTCCACTATTTCACTGCCAAAAATGGAAAAATGCAAGGGGGGTGCTGCTTGGGAAGAAGAGCATGCAAGCACATCTTTGAATAAGTACAACATGGGTAAGAGGCACGAGAAGTTAAAAAAGCAGGTTCAGTTAAAACGGAATCTAGTTTTTTCCATTGTTGTGGTGCTCAGTAATTGGGGCTAGCATTATGTGGAGAGCAGAGAAGTATACTGCTTACATTTCCAGGGGCTAGAGAGCCACTTCATTAAGTCATAGAAGGGTCGCTACTTGAACCAAGATAAACAGGCTCTAGCACTGAACTGGCTCTAGGTTCTTGTTGGTGGAAAAGGGAAACTAACTGTCCCTTGAAGAATGTAATTTGGGTATCTCAATTTACTGTAGAAACTGCAAAATGTTGCGCCGGCATTGCTATCATTCTGGCCAGTAGGGGACTAGCAATACATTGCTCAATGGACGCATTTGAACACCGTTTCTTCAGTTTGTTCTGAAGAAAAGCACAATCCTTTAATTATATTTATTCTAATTCTATTCAATTTGTGGCTAAGCCGGCATTGCTGTTAAAGTATGTCGGCCGAAGAAATCGTAGCATTAAGTGGCAGAATAAGCCCAACCAAGGGGATCTTAACACATGATGCATAATTCCTAGGCTGGCAATTATTTAAGGGGTGACCCTTTGAACTGGCTAGCAGTGATCTAAACAATAACATAACGTGCTTTGTATTTATGTAAATTAAAGCATTTTGAGTAGTAAGCACAGGGTATTCTATTACAAACAAATATTGAATTATGGCTCACCTTATTTGGAGTGTTGGTGAAGATAATCTGAAAGCGATTATTTTAGCAGCAGCATCAACTAATACGTTTAGGATACGGTTTAATAAAATATGTGAATTACAAGCAAGTAGTTTCAACAAGTCTGTATATGAATGTTTATAATCAAAGACGATGCTCTAATATTTATGCTTCAGGCAGGCTCCACCCATAATACTGAGGGTTCTTGTCATTGGTTAATACATTTCACAGGCGTTGTTGTTTTTATCCTACAGTTGACGGTAACTCGCACAATTTGAGTTGTGCTTTTTATAACCTACTAAAATACTTGGAAAGTAGTTGCTCACCTGACCCGTGCTTTCCCAAACTTGCCTTGCTGTATAAATGGTATGCATCTCCTACACTGTGATGTGCTTCTAACTTTTTATCCAGTGGTTTTAGACTGATTATGCTGGCTGTCTTAAGTGGCTGATTTATCTTCTCTTTTGTAATAAATCTTCTTGCATATCACACACACACACACACACACACACACACACACACACACACACACACACACACACACACACACACACACACACACACACACACACGCACACACACGCACACGCACGCGCACACACACACACACACACACACACACACCACACACACACACACACACACACACACACACACATCACACCTGTGAGGTTCTGCACGTCTTTAAACCAAAAGATTGAAATTAGATCTAGCATGTGGGTAGGTATAACAATGATTACTTACAGTTGAATGTGTGTGTGTGTGTTTATGCATATATGCATGCGTAAGGGTGAATTTGAATAGAAAGATATAATATAGATCAACTATTGTGTTGTATATTGTGCTGTTTTTACTGTATATGTATTGTACAGTGACCTTTTGTGTTTAGAAAGGCACCTATAAATAAAAACAAATGTATGATTCATTTTATGTTTTATGCATTTTAAAACCTAGGCCAGATGTTCCAAAACTATTTAAAATTAGGCTACATTCGTGAGATGAGAAATCTGAATCAAATAGTTTTAACTAGATCTCCTTAATGCTAAGAGTGCACTTCTTTTTTTTTCTTCCAATAATTATAAAGGAGTGCCTTGGAAATATTTGTTTACATAAATTGCATTTATCTCTCTCGCTCAATCCCACGCCCACTTTGGCTGTGAGCTGCAGATGCCTGATAAGCCAACACCCCCCACTTTCATCACTTACAGCGCCCATCGTACAGGGCAAATGAAAAGTGTAACCGGGATGAAAAGGGATTTACATTTACTTAATTATAAATGTTGTTACATCAAGGCCCAAAATTAGGATGAGCGCAAACAGTCAAACAAATGTTAACCTTCCCAGAGCTGCCAGCGCAGCGCCCCCTCAGATCTGGTGCCCTAGGCGACCGCCTATGTCGCCTATACCAAAAACCGGCCCTGACTTAACCTAACAACTTATTTAATTTGTTATCATAATTACTAATGTCATGTTTTGTTTTATTCTTGAAGAGAATGTCTTAGTAAAATGCTTCAATCTGGTGCACTTTAAGCACACATTACTAGAGACTAGATCTTAAGGGGTACAACTCTAAACACCCATATGAAAAAGATCGGTTTACATTTTAATAACCAAATATGTGAACATAACCAATAACCTACCATAGCCAATAACAAATAAAAGTAGCTTATTTTATTTTTGTTGTTCATTCATATCTTATTTTACCTAGTTAACATTTATTTCTGCATATTTTTTTATCTTTCCAGTTTTAAACGATATTTTTGGTTTACTGTCCTATAGTATACATTGAAATGATTTCAAACCTGTTTATCCCAATATTTATAAAGGAGTGCCTTGGAAATATTGAAAAATGTGTTTACTGCTGCTGGTTTATAAAGCTTTGAATGGTTTAGGACCAAAATACATTTCTGACCTCCTGCTAAATGATGATCCAGATCTCTCAGGTCTTCAGGGACTGGTCAGCTTTCTGTCCCCAGAGTCAGAACTAAACATGGAGAAGCAGCGTTCAGTTATTATGCTCCAAATATCTGGAACAAACTCCCAGAAACCTGCAGGTCCGCTGCAACTCTGACTACTTTTAAATCCAGCAAGAAGACTTTTCTTTTTGTCGCTGCTTTTAATTGAACTATTCATATCTTAGACTGCACTGTAACTTTTATCCATGTACTTTTTCTTTTAATGTTTATTTTATTAGCTTTTCTTTTTAATGACTGATTTTAAATGCCATATTCTTAATATCTTTCATTTTTTGTAAAGCACTTTGAATTGCCTTGTGTTGAAAGGTGATATATAGATAAACTTGCCTTGCCTTGCCTTACATAAATTGCCTTTATCTCTCTCGCTCGATCCCACGCCCACTTTGGCTGTGAGCTGCGGGCGCCTGATAAGCCAACACCCCCCACTTTCATCACTTACAGCGCCCATCGTACAGGGCAAATGAAAAGTGTAACCGGGGTGAAAAGGGATTTACATTTACTTAATTATAAATGTTGTTACATCAAGGCCGAAAATTAGGATGGTCTTCGTGTTCACTCTGGTTCTTAGAGAAGATGAGAATATCATCTAGATAGACAAAAACAAAACTATTTAGAAAGTCACGCAGTACGTAATTGACTAAGGCCTGGAAGACAGCAGGAGCATTGGTTAACCCAAAAGGCATGACTAAATACTAACAATGTCCCAGAGGGGTGTTGAAAGCAGTCTTCCATTCATCCCCCCGGCGGATTCGGACCAAGTGGTAGGCGTTTCTGAGATCCAGTTTTGAGAACATGGTAGCTCCCTGGAGGGGTTCAAAAGCCGAACTGAGGAGTGGTAGGGGATACTTGTTTTTCACTGTGATGTTGTTTAGGCCCCGGTAATCTAAGCATGATTGATTGATTGAAAATGGTATTAACAGATTGCAGAATGGGTACAATACAGTACAGCTCAATACACACAATTGTTAAGGGGATGCAGACCAGAGAAAGACTTTCGTCTTGTTTACATCAGGGTCCCCCATTTCATTCATCATAACATATATGACAATACATGACATACAGATAGATTACATTTTCATTTTAGATTCATTTTCAATTCATCATAACATATATGACATACATGACATACAGATAGACAGTACTGTTACATCTAGACATTTATGACATACCAGATCTACAAATATACAGTACTGTTTGTGAGTATAAAAAGTGTCTAAAAAGAGAGTATATACATTGAGGTCCAAAGATTTATCGAGTAGTTAATGTGTGTGTTATCCTTCTATTCAAATGCACTGTTACGCATGCATAAATGCATTAACACACACTCTCAACTGTTCGTAGCTCACTCATTTACTTACTTACATTTACTTGTGGTGTTCCTACTCAACTTTTCTATTCAAGTGAACCCAGATCCTTTCTGAACATTATGTAGTATAGAGAAACAGAGGGATCATCGTTTTTTTGTATGCATTTACTGTATGAAATAAAATCTAACTTTTCAAAACATAAAGGTCAATAAAGTAAGTACAGCTACAAAGTATTAAACAAAAACATCAACTGACTGGAACTACATAACCTCTCATACACTGTATAGCAATACTGTATCGATTCTGAAAAAAAAAACATAATCCAATACATATATATATATATATATATATATATATATATATATATAATGTATTGTGTTTTTTCAGAATTGATACAGTATTGCTGAACATAATATCGCAATACTCAAGTGTTAAATACTCAATATTTTTCTTAAACCCCGATTCAGCAACCTGGGAGAGAACATGGGACAGACAGACCGACAAGGCACGGCGGAGGCCTAATACATTAAACAGTAAAAGTTCACAGTATTGTGGCACTGGCATCTGAGGTCATTATATATAAAGTTCTGGAAAAGTCTTAAAAACATTATTATCTTTTCAATGGAAAACTCCATTGTATTTCCCTGGTTGTGTGAATGAGTCATTTTAGGTGTTGACTTTCATATTTGTCCAGGGAACAGTTGTAACTAAGAAATTACCACACCTCTTTCTGATGAAACAGATGTACTGTTATGATAAACCCTGCCTTGACAACACAAAGCTCACTCTCAATAATGGTTCTCACCAGAAGAAGAAAAAAAGTGCACTCATAGCATTAAGGAGATTTAGTTAAAACTATTTGATTCAGGTTTCTCATCTCACAAATGTACTCTAATTTTAAATAGTTTTGGAACATCTGGCCTAGGTTTTAAAATGCATAAAAACATAAAATGAATCAGACATTTGTTTTTATTTATAGGTGCCTTTCTAAACACAAAAGGTCACTGTACAATACATGAACAGTAAAAACAGCACAATATACAACACAATAGTTGATCTATATTATATGTTTCTATTCAAATTCACCCTTACGCATGCATATATGCATAAACACACACACACACACATTCAACTGTAAGTAATCATTGTTATACCTACCCACATGCTAGATCTAATTTCAATCTTTTGTTTTAAAGACGTGCAGAACCTCACAGGTGTGATGTGTGTGTGTGTGTGTGTGTGTGTGTGTGTGTGTGTGTGTGTGTGTGTGTGTGTGTGTGTGGTTCCGTGCACTGTTTCTACACGGACCACTATTGCGGTAAGCATGTTGTAACTTCCGGTTGCTGTTGTCACCTCCGGGTATCCCGTGTGCCCGTTCTGTTGCTGATAGCTTATTATCTTAACTTAATCGATCGTTTTAAAACTCTTGATCACGGCAACTGCCTGACGTTGTAATCACACGTTACTACAGCTTAAGCACTCACAACTCTCCTTCTCTTAGCGACTGTAACTCCACAGTTGCCTACACTCTTTTCGGGTTTGCTAACGGTAGCTACTTTAGCTTGATAGCTAGCCATGGCTCTTTCCCCACCCTCGGGTGCTATTTCCTGCTCTTCCTGTCTCATGTTTGGTTACTTCCCTACCTCCTTTACTGGTACCGATACATGTGTTAAATGTAGTATAGTTGTTAGGTTGGAGGCGGGAATCATAGCCATAGAAGCCCGGCTCCGCATCTTAGAAAGTAACTCAGCTACAGTAAAGCCCATGTTAGCCGGTGCGGACCGGCAAAAGGTAGCTCCTCTTAGCCGTCCCCCGGCAACTCCCGAGCAGCAGGGAGACTGGGTGACTGTTCAGAAGGGGCATAACGCGAAACCCGCAGGTCCCCACCAACCCGTTCACGTATCTAACAGATATTCCCCACTCAGCGAGACACCCGCTGAGAAGCCA